GGCGCGGGAGGCCCCGCGGCGGGCCTCGCGGGCCGGCGGCGCGGGGGCGCGGCGGAGGCCACATGGCAGCCGCGGATTAGCTGCGGGCGCGGCGGCGGACGCGTCCAGCGCCGTCCGGACGTGTCCGGCGCGGGGAGAGGAGCGGGGAGCTAGGGTTAGGGTGGTTTTGACCCGGGATTTCGGGGGAGAGGGTGTTTTTATAGGTAGAAGGAGCTAGGAAGCTCCAAATGAGGTGCGGTTTTCGGCCACACGATCGTGATCCGACGCCGGAGAGCATGGAAGTGACTTAGATGGGTTATTGCGCTGTTTTGGATGGGTGTTGGGCTGCAACTTAAAAGAGGCCTTTGTGGAGTGCGGTTAACCGCTGGAGTATCAAATGAGCTCCAAATGACCGGAAACTTGACAGGTAGTCTACCGGTGCTATACCAGGTCCACTTGGCAAGGCTCGGTCCATTCTGAGAATGTTCAACACTCGCACACAAAAGAGACCAGAGGGGGGGTGCGCCGGTGCATGTGTGAGTGTCGGATTGCGAAACAGACAACGGGGAAAATGCTCGGATGCATGAGACGAACACGTATGCAAATGAGATGCACATGATGACATGATATGAGATGCATGACATGAATAAAATGCAAGGACAAAAGACAAAACCCAACCACGGAGGGAATATCATATCACATAGCCGAAAATGGCAAGAGTTGGAGATACAAATATGGAAAGTTACATCCGGGGTGTTACACTACGGGTCCATAGTTATTAGCTAGATGGCTTCTTCTCTCTTTTTGGATCTCAATACAATGTTCTCCCACTCTCTTGTGGAGATCTATTCAATGTAAACTCTTTTTGCGGTGTGTTTGTCGAGATCCGATGAATTGTGGGTTTATGATCAAGTTTATCTATGAATAATATTTGAATCTTCTCTGAATTCTTTTATGTATGATTGAGTTATCTTTGCAAGTCTATTCGAATTATCAGTTTGGTTTGGCCTACTAGATTGGTCTTTCTTGCCATGGGAGAAGTGCTTAGCTTTGGGTTCAATCTTGCGGTGTCCTTATCCAGTGACAGAAAGGGTTGCAAGGCACGTATTGTATTGTTGTCGTCGAGGATAACAAGATGGGGTTTATATCATATTGCATGATTTTATCCCTCTACATCATGTCATCCTGCTTAATGCGTTGCTCTGTTCTTATGAACTTAATACTCTAGATGCAGGCAGGAGTCGGTCGATGTGTGGAGTAATAGTAGTAGATGTAGGAAGGAGTCGGTCTACTTGCTATGGACGTGATGCCTATATACATGATCATGCCTAGATAATCTCATAAATATGCGCTTTTCTATCAATTGCTCGACAGTAATTTGTTCACCCACCGTAATACTTATGCTATCTTGAGAGAAGCCACTAGTGAAACCTATGGCCCCCGGGTCTATCTCTTATCATATTTGCTTTCAATCTACTTTTATTTGCATCTTTACTTTTTGCATCTATATTATAAAATACCAAAAATATATTTATCTTATCATACTATCTTTATTACATCTCACTTTCGCAAGTGGCTGTGAAGGGATTGACAACCCCTTTATTGCGTTGGTTGCGAGTTCTCAGTTTGTTTGTGTAGGTGAGTGGGACTTTTGAGGAGCCTCCTACTGGATTGATACCTTGGTTCTCAAAATTGAGGGAAATACTTACGCTACACTTGCTGCATCACCCTCTTCTCTTCGAGGAAAACCAACGCAAGCTGAAGACGTAGCATCCACTATTTGTTCGATAGCAAGCAAACTCTTCCAATTTAGGACCTTCAGTGATCTTACAATGAACATTGTAAATGATAATCAACGAATTCCGGCGAAATAGAAGATCTACGGGTCACCATAGTGTTCTGATACACAAATAGGATTCCGTACTCTTAAACAAGAGGTTGCCACTTAGCATAAGGAAAGGGAAGAGTAAGGCCAGCATTGACTAGAGCTACTGATATCTCGGGACACTATGTGAAATAGCTACGATATGCTTGCTATTCTTGGAAGATAAGTCATGCCTTAGGAAACTAGTCATGTTATGATCGAATTGGAATGTGCGGGCTTTGTGACTACCACTGCTTGGAGGATCAAGAAGCCTACTAGTTCACTCGTCCTGCGATATGTGATCAATCGCTCCTGCTGGTTGTACAGATTCTATCACTGGCTTTAGGTTATTCCTTCTCGGACCTAACGTCTCCATCACTACTAATAAGGAAGGCCACTTTCTTTTGTATCGGGCCTTCAAAACGCAACGCAGTAGAAACATATAGCTGAGTAGAGAGTGTGGCCGAAGCAGCCATAGCTTAGCAATTATGTTCTTATAGATAAGGATTAGACGGATGTAGACAACCAATAAATCTAAGGTGAACCAATAGAAACAGAGTCTGGTGGAAGCGGTCATCCCGTGGGGAGAGACTCAAGACTATGATAATATGATGACTCCGCTGTGCTGTTCTGCTGACTAGCAGTTTCCTCTTCTAAGTAAATAACCAGCTTCAGTTCATGCTCCTTGCTGGCATAACCATATTAACCTGCATTGGATAAACAATCGAAACTCCATAATTGTTAATAGTAGGGTAGCGAAGTAGCAGGGGTTGCATGTGTCATCAAAATTCTAGTATAAGGAAGCGACTGGAAGGGAAAGGTGATTACAAAATACGGATACGTAAGGGTTGTGTTTATTGACTATCACAACAAAATGGGAAGAATTTATCACACATGGTATTAGAGCTGGTACCTTCACCCAAACCATAGACGCCGGCGGTGAAGAAGGAGGTGAGGGCGCCTGATTTGATTAGGCTTACTGTAAGTTTGTTTGAAGCTCCGGAGTCTAGTCTACTAATGGGTGCTATGGTGTGTCCTCCCCTCTAAGGTCTCGCTTGGATAATCGACTCTTACGACACACATAGGAGAGGGTTTTTCCCAACCGTTCATGCCTCTCGGCTATGAAATAAAAGTGTGGAATCTTTGAAGCTAGGTATTAAGCACAGGAAGGTATGGGAATATAGCGAGCACTTTCTTAAACCGAGATGTGAGACTACTAAAGAGGCAGGTAAAGTGGGAAGTGGGATTCATGATGCAAGCTTATGAAGAAAAAAAAGAGATCTCATTAATTCTTCTAAAAATAGTTATAGCAATCCCTCGCCATCTGAGCCAGAACGAATCCCGGTCAAATCTCTAAATGCTTTTGGCATTCTTTTCCCTCACATTTCCCTAATTCTTTTATTAATATGGGAATGGGAGCAAATGAGGAGGCATCGAGTCGAAGAAATGAATTTCTCTTTGGCTAGTGGAAATGGGGTTCTTGTCGTCAACGAAGTAACTGCTCTATTTGGAGAGTGGAGCCAGCCTCAAAGCCGCCTTGGTTCTATAGTAATCTCTCAGCGTTTGAGTTGACTAATCCGATGGTACTTGAAGAAGAGTGAAACGACGAGATTTCCTTATAGGAGGAGAAGGGGATTCATGTTGCTTTTGGGTGGGTCCAATCAAGGTACAAAAAAACTCTTTTCCCACGGCTCAGTAATACGATCCTATCTTACCATTCTTCTATCCTTCTTCATCACGAGACAGAAGCATAACGCTGATCTATGGATGAAGGTACCAGAAAATTCATTATGACCTAGACCTAAACCAGGCTGATATTGAACAAAGGAGGAGTTCTTGTTACTACTTCTCGCTGGCACCAAAATAAGTTTCGCCTGATTCGGACCTTTTGTGGTGGTCTGCCAAGGACAACACCTAAAAACAACCCTTGTGCCATGGAATATTCCCTTTCACGATTGGCGAACCTGGCTTTGATGACATTCCCGAGGAAGGTATTTTCCCTACTAGGCTCGTTGCTTCGCTTATTAAACATCAGAGAAGCGAATGCCTCTCGTAATTGATTGAAAAGTGCTCGCCTCTAGTTCCAGCAGATGCCTACCATGTACCATCCATGGAGGAAGTAGTGTGTTATTGTAAGTATAATATTATTTATCAAGTGTCACCAAGGATACACCCCACTTACCAAATATGCCTGTGGATGCGGCATCTAGCTCTATGCAATGAAAGCAATGGAGATGAAATTATGGGTTTGATTACTGGTACAAACTAGTTCAAAGCTAGCGAGAGCATAAGGAACGGTAGATTCCATTCAACTGGTAGGTCAAGCCCTTACCCATAACACTTATTCAAAATGGGCTATCCGATATGGATAGGCTGCTATATCTAGAAAGAGAAGATGAAAGGTTTTGGATTATTAGCAAAGGTACTTATTTATTACTCAGCTAGGCAGTTACAAACCTATTTATTTACAAGTTCCACATGGGTCTGGTCAGGAAGACTCGGAATCATTCTCACGACCACCCCACACGGGAGCGGCTTCTCCGCCAATCGATCATCACTTGAATACAAAAAAGCCCATTTTCCAATGGAAACCTGGGGAAATACAGTTGCTCAATTCATTCGATTTCGAAATAGCATATAAAGTGATTCTTGCAATTTCACTGCAGGCAGTGCAGCAATTCTCGCGGGAATCTCGGTCTTGTTTGGTCCGATTCCTTAACGAGAGCCTAGTCGAAAGGGCCCATAAAAAGAGTAAATCATTTTTGGTATGGGTACGTTGGCCCCTACGAGGGGCGGTAAGCAAGGTAGAGACCATGGAGCAGGACCGCAAAGGGTCTTCCCATCTCTTCTTGTTATTGTCTTTGTCTGAGATGCCCGGTTCACCAAATGAGAATTCAAATCGAGATTGTGTGAAGTAAAGATCTTTTTCTTGAAAGCGGATTTCTCCCTTCAAAATATCATCCATCTAATTTGTTAAAGTATGGAATTCTCACCCAGAGCTGCGGAACTCACGACTCTATTAGAAAGTAGAATGACCAACTTTTACACAAATTTTCAAGTGGATGAGATCGGTTGAGTGGTCTCAGTTGGAGATGGGATTGCACGTGTTTATGGATAGAACGAGATTCAAGCAGGAGAAATGGTGGAATTTACCAGCGGTGTGAAAGGAATCGCCTTAAATCTTGAGAATGAGAATGTAGGTATTGTTGTCTTTGGTAGTGATACCGCTATTAAAGAAGGAGATCTTGTCAAGCGCATTGGATCTATTGTGGTTGTTCCCGTGGGAAAGGCCATGTTAGGCCGTGTGGTCGACGATTTGGGAGTACCTATTGATGGAAAAGGGGCTCTAAGCGATCACGAACAAAGACGTGTCGAAGTGAAAGCCCCAGGGATTATTGAACGTAAATCTGTGCATGAACCCATGCAAACAGGCTTAAAAGTAGTGGATAGCCTGGTTCCTATAGGCCGTGGTCAACGAGAACTTATAATCGGGGACAGACAAACTAGAAAAACTGCAATAGCTATCGATACTATATTAAACCAAAAGAAAATGAACTCAAGGGGCACAAATGAGAGTGAGACATTGTATTGTGTCTATGTTGCGATTGGACAAAAACGCTTGACTGTGGCACAATTAGTTCAAATTCTTTCAGAAGCGAATGCTTTGGAATATTCCATTCTTGTAGCAGCCACCGCTTCGGATCCTGCTCCACTGCAATTTCTGGCCCCATATTCAGTGTGTGCCATGGGGGATTATTTCCGCAATAATGGAATGCACGCATTAATTATATATGATGATCTAAGTAAACAGGCGGTGGCATATCGACAAATGTCATTATTGTTATGCCGACCACCAGGCCGTGAGGCTTTCCCAGGGGTTGTTTTCTATTTACATTCCCGTCTCTTAGAAAGAGCTGCTAAAAAATCGGACCATATAGGTGCAGGTATCTCGACTGCGTTACCCGTGATTGAAATACAAGCTGGAGACGTATTGGCCTATATCCCCACCAATGTGATCTCCATTACATATGGACAAATCTGTTTGGAAACAGAGCTCTTTTATCGCGGAATTAGACCAGCTATTAACATTGGCTTATCCATTAGTCGCGTCGGGTCTGCCCTCAGTTGAAAGCTATGAAACAAGTTTGCGGTAGTTCAAAACTGGAATTGGCACAATATCGCGAAGTGGCCGCCTTCGCTCAATTTGGGTCAGACCATGATGCTGCGACTCAGGCATTACTCAATAGAGGTGCAAGGATTCCATAAATGCCCAAACAACCACAATATGAACCACTTCCAATTGAAAAACAAATTGTTGTGATTTATGCTGCTGTCAACGGCTTCTGTGATCGAATGCCACTAGACATAATTTCTCAATATGAAAAAGCCATTCTAAGTACTATTAATCCAAAATTACAAAAATCCTTCTTAGAAAAAGGTGGCTTAACTAACGAAAGAAAGATGGAACCAGATGCTTCTTTAAAAGAAAGCACTTTGCCTTACCTGTGAATTAATTAAAAAGGTTGCCCCTTACTCGCAGATGTAGGAAGAAGGCTTTTCTCGCCAACTGAACCCCAATAGGCTATTTTTGCACATAATTTTCGTGCCATGCGTAAACCAAGCTGCTGAGAGTCTACCCCATCCACAAGGGGGAGCTGCTCTAGTAGTTCAGGATACCCCACCCAGCCCCTCAAGGGTTGACGGACCCCCTACCTATACGTATACCTGATGATTACCTATACCTGATGATTTTTCAATCGACAGCTCATTTTCTTGAATATGTGACAAGCCTTGCAAATTGTGATAATATGTATCAAATTAGTGGTCCACATAACCCAGTATTTGAAAATTATGGAGGTGCAGGCCCAAGTACTTCGAATCATCAACAAGAAATCCAAGAAAGAACAGCAAAGGACAAACGTGACAAGAAAAGTGTTTTCTCGACTCGAGATGTTAGAAGGTGCTAAATCAATAGGTGCCAGAGCTGCTACAATTGCTTTAGCCGGAGCTGCTGTCGGTATTAGAAACGTCCTCAGTTCTTTGATTCATTCGTGGCGCGAAATCCATTATTGGCTAAACAATCATTTGGTTATGCCATTTTGGGCTTTGCTCTCACCGAAGCTATTGCATTGTTTGCCCCAATGATGGCCTTTCTGATCTCATTCGTTTTCCGATCGCATAAAAAGTCATGAGATCAAAAAAGAAATGTGAGAATGTAGTTACAGATGTAAAAAATGTCAATATCTCATTCTCTTGTTCTTAAATCATGAATTGGATGATGTGCGTTTCATCAAGTATGAACATATTGCATTTTTTGCTATGCAATTTCAGTACCGGATCGACGTCCATTTATTTCTATGTCCTCATCCGCGTGTATGTCTGTGTTAGATAGGCTCTGGAAGGCCTTACTTTATTAACAGGTAGGGCGCGTTACTTTTATTCTTTTCTTGCTGCTTACCCGCTTGTTTAGATTATTTACTTGCCCTTTCACTTTTTCTTCGGCTGTCACCAACTTTGTTCAATGCTAGTCCGTAACCCATGAATAAGGGCTCCGCTGGCTACCGGGTTCAGAGAAGTTTGTAAGCTCTTTCTCTTCTTTTTGTTTTTTGCCACCTCCTGTGTCTTTCCGTTTAAGGTCTTTAATTCGGCATTAGCTTCGTTAGAGAAAGCAATGCGTGAACTACAAAGCATGGGATCCTGAACACCACGAAAGAAAGCGTACTAGTTTTCAATAAGGTTCGACTTCAGAGTGGAGAGACATGAACTTGTTTTAGGCGTAGAAAAAGGCATGCGGTATGAAAGATTGATTGAAAAGAGGTAGGGACTAGTCTTGCTGCTAAGGGAGAAGGAGACCTCTGTCGGAGCAAGCTAAAGAGCCCACTTTATATCATCGATTTCAAGTAAGGCACTTGATCAAGCCTATACATCCGAGAATTTCGCTCCAAACCAAAGACGACTTGCTTTGCTGCATTTCTTGGGCCGGGGCTTTACTTGATTTTGGCGAAAGAAAGGCCATATGATCTACTTTCTGGTGCCGGTCCCTTCACAAAGATAGCCCCTTCTTGCTCTTATTCTTATTCTTATTCTTATTCGGTGGAATACAAGAGTTCTGAAGTTCATTTCTTTCAAGTGAAAGTTGCCTATCTTTCTTGGTTCGGAATCCAATCCAGTTGAAAACAAACAATTGCCCGATGGCAAAGTCAGATGAAAGGCTAGGAGTGTAAACCATGTACGAGCGTGGCACAAAAAGTGAAATGTTTTGCAGCGAGTCAAGCGTAATACAATCAAAAGGAAATGGGGTCGATGCTAAAACTCAAACAGTTCCCCAGAGGGGGCCCCAGGTTGAAAAAGCGAGCTACATTCTTTCATAGAAGACAGAAAATAAGAGGACTGATGCTTTCTTACTTCATCTTAATATAGGGATTATAGCATTATAATTATGGAATTCGAATGGATTGAGTACATCAAGATGAAGAAATTAACATAATAACCGATATTCTCAAAAGATTCGGTCATGCAAGAAACCTTAGTGTGCATGGCACTAAAAAAGGGTACAAAGAACATGAGATGAAAGCAATGGCTGAATAGCCGGGGAAACACTAAATAAAGACAAGTGTCATCCGGACTTACTTGATTGATTGAATCGAGTGATGGAAATGCCATTGAGAGATTAGAAGGAATAGAGAAAACATTAGATAGAGGTCATGCTTCTGCTCAGTCCAAAAGAACTATCTGAGTGAGGATAAGGTGGTTTATATTAGGGTCCGAGAAAGCAACTTGACATGCCAATCCTAACAAGAATTCCACTCCTTCCGGTCATGTCAGAAACCACCTCTTGGAAAGCAGATTGAAAGCCAATCGTTTTAGAAGATGATGACCCTCTTGTGCTCCTACATTCCTGCTAGTTGGTGGATGAAGAATAGGAGAGAGATTGCTTGAGTAGAAGATAACCCGCGAGAAGGATGTTTTGTAGCGCTTTCTCATACAAAAGGAAAAGGCGTCATTACCGAAGGAAAGATCCCAGCTTTTCATTGCTCTGTCGCGCCACCCCTCCTCTCAGAGCCGGTTCTTATCCATAGATTTTTCATCTAAAAGATACGGTATATATATCAATGAAAGCTGGCGCCTTTGGTTCTTGGCACGACTGGTACTTTTTCTCATTTATTGGTCTAGTTGGAAAAATTTCCCCTCAAAGAGCAAGTTTTCTTATATATTATGCTACGCCCTTGCCCTTAACCTTCCTTTCTCTTCTATAAAAAGGCTAGATGTCAAATGTAACTGATGCTTATATTCTAAATATGACAAGAAAGAAACCTACTATTGTCATAAACAAAAACCCAAACATTAGTAACTAACAGAGCTTTCCTATTTTAACTATTTCCCTATAAACCATGATTGATATACCAATCAAAAAAGACTTCTGAAACTAAAGTAATCTATTGATTTATGCCCGTGCTTCTTCTGTTTTTGTACGCAGAAGGATGTCTAGGAGGAACAGATCACTGAGGTTAAGAATGAGAAGGTGAAAAGTGAAGATAGAGAATAGATGCCATGAACAAGTGTATCAATTCAAGAGTTAAGGAATACTATTGGGAAGATTGGGCATTGGGTTCATCTTGTTATTGACCATCCCTTTTCAACACATATCTTTTAGTATACGTCTTTTTAGTTGCTTAAAGATTTCAGATATTGCTTTTTCTGTTATAGGAAGTGTTGCGTTCCCCTTTAGGGTGTTTGTTAGTGGCATCACCAGATAGGGTGTGTGCCCGGAAGAGAGAAGAAAAACATGTTGCTTGATATTTGTGGTTGAAGAGCTATTTTTCCTATCGAACGGGAATTCCGAGGGATGTTTTTTGTTGTCGATTTGTAGCAATAGAAAGATAATGGAAGTGATTGAATAAGTTGGGTCATGAGAATGGAAGTTGGGACACATACTAGATCCATGTCTTGATTATTCGACTTTTCCGTTCCAATGAGAATGGAAGAGCTATTTTTCCTATCGAACGGGAATTCCGAGGGATGTTTTTTGTTGTCGATTTGTAGCAATAGAAAGATAATGGAAGTGATTGAATAAGTTGGGTCATGAGAATGGAAGTTGGGACACATACTAGATCCATGTCTTGATTATTCGACTTTTCCGTTCCAATGCACAATACTATGCATTCCATTCCAAAGAGCGGTTTCGGTGGGTTGATACGATTTCCACTTTGATGGTCCTAAGTTGGCATTCTTTGCAGATAACTTCCATCTCGCCATAGACGAAAAGTACCCAATTTCATGCCAAGGGACCATGTAAGGGTTGTACGACCCATCCATATGATAAAAAGACTCACAAGCCTAAGAGCAATTCCTTCCTTCCCTATCATTAATTAAGGACTGGCTTGCTTCGAGAGAAAGGAAATCTGAATTCCATAGTCGTCTTCCTCACGAGATGGAACAACTAAAGGTGTAGCTTGGAAACATACTTTTTTTTCTGTTGGATTGTGCTCCAGAGAATGGAATAGTAACATGCGCTCCCGAGAGGCGGCATTAGTTTATGGTTCGAAAGCACGAGTCACTCCATCCAGCTATACTTGCATTGATATAGACGATTTGAGCCTTTGAATTTACTTACTACAAAACAAGCTATGTTCTCCTATATATTTCCTTGGGCTCACTTTACAAAAGAAAAACAAACTACTCCTCTTGATGTGGTCAGAGCGAAGTACTAATAGGCACAGAAACAACAGTAATATGTTTCATTCATTTCATCTGTATGGTATGACATGACCTATTTTTGCTCCCCATTTTGTTGGAACAGAGGCCTCTGTCTACCGGCCTGAAAGGAGGGTCTCATGCTTGTAAACTAGCATATATCTTGCACAGAATGAACCTTCCTTCAGTCACAACGAGAAGCACTATCGGGGTCTGAACGAATAGAAAACACAATCAACACTTCATATCAAAGTCAACCAATGTTTATCATATAGAGCGGAATCTTCATTCTAATTTGATTAGCCAACCCTCCCTCGAGTCGTATGCTTTCTGATCACTCTCCTATGCTGGTTACTTTTCTTTCAAACGTTACGTCGTTGCAGGTCCTCGCCCTTCAGGTTGAAGGAGATGTGTACTCGACTTCCTTTAAGTAAG